TGGTACTGGAACTTTGAAAAGCTATCCGTGGAAGCAATAATACAGGGAAATCGCCGTAGCCGTCGCTGTTGCCTTTGATTGGTGAATCCTTGGAGATGCCGCTTGGTTATATCACAGTCGATTGTTCCTGGTACTGGAAGTTTGAAAAGCTATCCGTGGAAGCACGCAGTAAACGTCGCTGTTGGTTATATCACAGTCGATTGAAAAGCTTTCTGTGGAAGCTAGAATACACGGAAATCGCCGTCGATGTTGCCTTTGCTTGGTTCCTTGGTGGTCTGCCGTCACTGTCGTTATTGGTTTCCGGTGCTAGCCTACGGAATAGCTCTTGGTAGGTCGGGGAATCGCCAACGCCGTTGCCCTTGCTTGGTGGATCTTTGGAGACGTAGCTTGGTTATGATATCACGGTCGATTGTGCCTGGTACTGGAACTTTGAAAAGCTATCCGTGAAAGCAAGAATACAAGGAAATCGCCGTCGCCTTCGATGTTGCCTTTGCTTGTTTCTTTATTGGTGGTCTGCGTCGCTGTCGGTGTTGGTTTCCGGTGCTAGCCTATGGAATAGCTCTTGGTAGATCTTTGCTTGGTGGATCCTTGGAGACGTCGCTTGGTTATGATATCACAGTCGATTGTTCCTGGTACTGGAACTTCAAAAAGCTTTCCGTGGAAGCAAGAATACAGGGAAATCGCCGTCGCTGTTGCGTTTGCTTGGTAGATCCTTGGAGACGCCGTGTTATATCACAGTCGATTGTTCCTGGTACTGGAACTTTGAAAAGCTTTCCGTGGAAGCAAGAATACGGGGAAAATCACCGTCGCCGTTGCCTTTGCTTGGTTCCTTGGATGTGGATCCTGTAAGATGATTCCACTTGCTACTAGCCCCAGGAAAACCTATTACTGGAATCAAATTGCTGTTATTAACTTGCTGGTACTAGATGGCTCCTTGGGGTAACAAGAAGACAATTAACTAACTAGAGGATAGGATAAGGTCGGTGGATTACAGATGCTGGCTGGGTACATTCCGAATATTGATCGAAATGTGAGCATCTAATCAATCCATCGCAAGCCATGCGAGAATTCATGCAAATTCCACAGGCAGCTATTCGAAATTCCACTCATACAATACAAGACCAAACGTTGTCGCATGCGGGAATTCGATGACGTGG